AACTAGTTCTAACTTTGTGTTTGACAAACATTTTTATCCCCTTCAAATTGTAACAACTCTATTTAAATAGTATTTTCTTTGTGAAAACCAGAGACAAGTTAAATAGTGTTTTTTTTTTTAAATTAACAGCAGTTATTGTGCTGATCGTGTCAGCTGCACATGAATAACTTCATAGTGATAAATAACATTTGGTGTGGCTGCATTTTAATGAAAATTAGTGACGTCACTAACCTGTGGGGAAATAATAGACATTTTGATGGCTGACATCACTGCAGCTCATTTCCTCCAAATATCAGCAGGGAACAAGAGAAGTTACCACATATCAAACCCTGATAGTTTGGTTTTGATTTGAAGTTGTTAAATTTTCGCAGGGAATGACCCTGACGGATGTGGACGTGGGGGAACCTTTCTTGACGTAACACCGGTGTTGTGTCGAACTGTGTCCCGGTAGTGTTGTCTTGTGAGGTAGACTCTGCTCTGCCGCCTTCGCCTGTTTTGGGTGTAGTTGTGTAACAAACCGTGTCGATAAAGCTGTAAATTGTTGGTTCGTTTCATCAGAAGCATCTTCACTGCAACAAGACGGACTTCACCGACGGTAAGAAACTTAGTTTATGTTATTGACGCTAACAAAGCTAGCAACAATCAGTCTGAAAACTACTAGCTAACGTGGCTATATTTTTACCAAACAGTATAATTAAAGACATCGACAAAACGTTCAGTCTTAAATAGCTGTGATGTTTTAGTTTGTTTAAAGCGGTTTAGCTAATTCTGACAACCTGTGCAGTGTTAGCTAACTTGGCGGTGATAAGGGACTTTATGGAGGTGTAATAAATAAATAAACCATTTCTTCTTATTTGCAGGTTTGACACGTGGACTGACCTGTGTTGCAGAACTCTGGGAACATATATTTGCACATTTTTAACCTTCATACAAACTAATGGTGAACTTCTGGTCGATCAGTTGTGGTGTAGCCGAGGCTAAGAGTCCGGAGGCTAGCTGGATGTGATGTGGAGCCGCTCCCAGGATCAACAGCTTCACTCTGTAGACCTGTCTGCTTCATTAAAGCACGGTTTTATTTTCCTGGGCCCACGTCGAATCAGTGGAACTGGTTTCCCCACACCTACGGGTGTGTCTATGACCTGGAGAGCATGTCGCTTGGGCCTGCTGAATCCCTGTGAAGAACTGTTTTAGATCAAAGAAAAGAGGGGAAACAAAGGACTGACCACTCTTAAGTTTATAACAGAGTCATGACAGCTGTGCTGGGCAGGGCCTGGGGCTGGGTGCGCGCCTGGGGCAGCCATGGCCCACCAGAGAAAACCACCGCTCTGATAGTTGAGACCCCAAAACCACAGGAAAAGGGCGGCTGGGGTCTCAGAGGATGGACTTCTTGGATGTGGAGGAAACAAAGTGACCACAGCGGAGCAGCAGAGGAGTTCTGGGAGGCCCAGGAGAAGCTGCAGCCTGTGGAAATAGAAGAGCTCAGAGCAGGGAAACTGGAGGCTCAAGCAGCTTTGCAACAACCCAAGTGGTGGAGCAGATATCTCCCAACGTTGTACCTGTGGCCCAGAAAGCCTGAGCTGTCAGGACTGAGGCAAAGGAAAGGTGACGGTCGGAGGGAACATGACATTGATGGGGACTTCTCAGATTATGGAACACCTCCTCCGTCTCCTACGCCCTTCTCCTCTCAGCTGACCTCTCCTTTCCGACTCTTCGCGCACGGCTGGAACATGGAAATCGTGCCCGAGCATTACGACATCTGCTTCAATTTCCTCCGTCACCTGTTCGATCTGTTCGTCGTCGCCTTCCTGTGGACCGTGTCCCCTCCGGCCAAGCTGGTCCTGGAGGTGCTGGGGGTCCAGGGAGCGCTGAGGCTGTGGTTCCATGGCATGGCCATGTTTTTTGTGTCCACAGCTGGGATGGCCGGATTACTCTGGCTGATCCAGGAGTATCTCCCTCAGTTTGCTTTAATCTACGGCATCATCCAGGCGTTGGTGATCTCGGTCAGCGTTCGACAGAGCGTGTTCCTCGGTGTGGAGGAAGGTGAAGAAGGAAATGACGAGGACGTGAAGGAGACGGATGAAATGAGAGACACTAAAGATCATGGAGACAATCCTTCGTCTAAATAAGAGCATATGGAGAGTTTATTAAAGGGTAAGTTTTATTTCCCCCAATTTCATATTAAATGTAAACTTTTAGTCATTTTGTTATTAAAGGGGACCTATTATGCAAAATTCACTTTTTAAAGTTTTTTTTACTCAACTTTGGGTATGTACTTCTTAAAAAAACAGTCCTAGGACCAAAAAAAATGCACCCAGGGGCATATTTACTGTAAGTAAATGTAT